TGAACCAATAGAAGAAAAGGATATTAATGAGTTTACAAAAATAGAAATAAAAATGATCAATAAACAAACAGAAAGGGAATTCTCTTTAAAAAATAAAAATTAAATAATGGAAGACTGGGGCTGGAGCAATAGCACAGCAGGTAGGGAGTTTGCCTTGCACGCGGCTCACCCGGGTTCGATTCCCAGCATCCCATATGGTCCCCCAAGCACTGCCAGGAGTAATTCCTGAGTGCATGAGCCAGGAGTAACCCCCTGTGTATCGCCGGGTGTGACCCCTCCAATAAAAGCAAAAATAATAATAGTAATAATAATGATAATAATAATTCAATGGTGTTGACTAAGAAAACAGAAGCAACCAGAAGTGGGGGTGGGGAGAACTACATCAAGCTAAAAGTTCCTGCACAGCCAAAGAAACAATAACTTGGATAAAAAATACAACCTATTGAGTGGGAGACAATATTTGTTCACCACACATATGGCAAAAGAGTAATATCCAAGGGGGCTAGAGCGATAGCACAGCGGGAAGGGCATTTGCCTTGCACACGGCTGACCCGGGTTTGATTCCCAGCATCCCATAGGATCCTCCGAGCACTGCCAGGAGTAATTCCTGAGTTCAAGCCAGGAGTAAGCCCTGTGCAGCACCGGGTGTGACCCAAAAAGAAAAAAAAAAGAGTAATGTCCAAAATTTATAAAGCAGTCATAAAACTTAACAGCGACAAAGATAAAAACAGTTCTATCAAAGAGTGTGAATTGAATCAGAGAGATAATGAACAAATTAGATAACTTCTGCTTCTAATTTAGGTCCATTAATGCATTTAAAATCTGCATCTCGGGGGTGGAGAAATAGTACAGTGGGCAAGACCTTTGCCTTGAACTCAGCCATCCTGGAATTAATCCCCCAACACCCCATATGGTTCCTGAACACTGGCAGGAGTAAGCCCTGAATACCACCAGATGTGGCTCAAGACAGAACCAAAACAAACAAACTGATCAGACAGGGGTTATGTGGCCAACCCCCAGGCACCGCATAGGGACCCCCTCCTCCCAACATGACCCAGAGAGATCCCTGAGTACAGATACAGTATTAAGTCCTAAGCACTACCAAATGTGGCCCACACAAAACGATGTCCACACTCCTATGCTCACTGCAGTGCTATTTACAATCGCCAAGATCTGGAAACAACCCTAGTGCCCCAAAACAAATGTAGCACTGTAGCACTGTCCTCCCATTGTTCATGGATTTGCTCCAACGGGCCCCGTAACATCTCCATTGTGAGACTTGTTGTTACTGTGTGTAGCATATTGAATAAGTAGCTTTGCTGTGCGGGTGAAATAGAAATGAGTACATTTAAAAATCATGGTAATGTACCGATGGAATACTACTCAGCTATAAGAAAATAAGAAATCCCTCAGTTCACTGCAACTTGGAAGATGCTCGACTCCAATTCGAGTAGGCGTGGAGGTCTCGGCCCCGGAACCCGCGTGGCTGTGTCCCTCTGCCAGTACCTTCATGGGTGCGGAGAGTGGTCTCAGCATGGTGGTGGCTGGTCCTGGAGGTCTTCGGCTGCCGTAGCCCTGGTCGGGGCGGGGAGGAAAGCTCAACCCGCTCCCCTCCAAGGGACTCCGGGAAGGAACACCCAGGCGCGGGGGCAGAGACTGCACGCCTACTCGAATTGGAGTCGAGCATCTTCCACCCAGATCCTCCAAATTTCAGTAGGCGGGGGTCACACCCACCACCTGGCCCCCTGGCGCCGTGTAATCCCATCAGTGGCCAAGACTCAGAGACTATAAAATCAGATCCCAGAACCGCGCGGCCGCATTTGCGGCCGCGCGACATCTTAACAAAACTTTTTTTTATGACATCTTATTGTCTTATTTCTACTTTGGACAAACTTGCAGGCTATCGAATGTAGCCTGCCCACAGGGCAGAGTCTGGCAAACTCCCCGTGGCGTACCAAATATGCCAAATACCAGTAACAATGATGGGTCTCACTTTCCTAAATAGCCTTGAATATAATCTCAGGGCTAGGATGAAAGAGACGTTACTGGGGCCTGCTCGAGGCAATCGACGAATAACAGGATGATGAAATGAAATGAAATGAAAACTGCAACTTGGATGGAACAGGGCCCAGCACACACCCTCAGGCATAATGGTAAGGCTCAACTTTGAACATGCATACTTAATCCTTGAATGGATGAACCAAATCAAATGCACCTGACCTGGGTTCAACCCCCAGCACCAGATGGTCCCCTGAGCATCGCCAGGTAATATCCTGGAGACCCCCACACAAGCATCAGCAGGTGTGGCCCTGGAGTCCCCCAGCAGCCCCCACAGTGGCCCAGGTCATCCCTGACATCACAGAGTCCAAATAGTATGGTCAATTTGGCCTGGAGCCTTCAGACCCACTCGGGAGGCCCCCACCCTAAAAGAGCAAATGAACAGGAGTTGCTTCTGCTGCCCATGATCATTTATTTATCATCTGTGTCCATTCAAATCTCTGTCCTGAGATTTCAGTGGAGCTGATGCCAAAGCTGGCACATGACCCTGTCCCAGATCTGCTTCTTTAAAATCCTTCCTATTCTTTCCTCCATGAAGTGATAGAAGGAATTAATCTGACCAGGGAGACCCTGGGGTTGCACCTCAGTTCAAGGGAAAGGACGCTTAGCATGCAGCCTCCCTACCAGCCTCCCAAACAGACTGGCTATACTTTTCACCCCAGGGTTTATATATGTTGGGATTTTGTTAGAAAATTGACTTCACTGATAAGTGATTATCTTATTTTATTTTTATTTTTTAATTTTTCGGTCACAGGGCTGGAGCAATAGCACAGCGGTAGGGCGTTTGCCTTGTGCGCAGTCAGCCCAGCCAAGCCGAGTTCAATTCCTCCACCCGTCTTGGAGAGCCCAGCAAGCTAAAGAGAGTATCTCACCCGCACGGCAAAGCCTGGCAAGCTACCCGTGATGTATTCAATATGCCAAACATGGTAACAACAAGTCTCAAAATGGAGAGGTTACTAGGCCCGCTCGAGCAAATCCATGAACAACGGGAGGACAGTGTGACAGTGGACAGCTTTTTGGGTCACACCCAGCAATGCACAGGGGTTACTCCTGGCTCATGCACTCAGGAATTACTTCTAGCAGTGTCCGAGGGACCATATGGGATGCTGGGAATCGAACCTGGGCCGGTCATGTGGAAGGCAAACACCCTACCCACTGTGCTATCACTCTACTCCCTAAGTGATAATTTTAATTATTTGGTCTTTTGAATCTTTGACTGTTGGGGAAGGGATGAGGAGAGAGGGACTATGCAGACTGGAACCCATCAATGCCTCCTGCACTAACATGGTGGGATTTTCAGTCTGTGACTGTGGACATGTGTCAGGCCAGGTGCAACTGTCCAGGAAATAAGAGACAATAAGAGCAGTTAAGCCCCTGGGCCAGACCTGAGCTCAACCCTGACTCTGCCTCCTGCTTGCCAGGTGGTCTCCACTAACTTGTGCATGAGTCTGTTTCCTCATGCACGAACTGGGACGCTAATACCTTCCTCACGATCACTGTGTAAGTAACCTGTGGAGCACATGCTTTGCATGCAGGGGGCACTATTTTGATCCCCAGCACTGCAAGGCTCCTCAGCAACCCCACTTATAATCCTGGAGATCACTGGGGTAGCCCTAGTGGCCCCTAAGCACCATGGGGTGCCCCTGGAAATCCCTGTTTCCTATAGGGCCCCAGCTTAGAACAATCCAGTCTAATTCTGGCAATTGCCTGAGTAGGGAAGAGAGGCCCCTGAGAAACTCAGCCCCCTGCTCTGCAGAACAAGAGGGCAGGCGTAGAAAGCTAGTCTGAATAAAATGTTCTGTAGAATATGCATAGTGAGTTGTATGGGGAGTGTTAAAAAAATTCACCCAGCATCCAAACTCCAATAAACAAATTTTAAAACGTGCCTGTCAACGTTTTGGATGTGAGGTGAAGGGTGGGGTGGAGGGAACCTGAGAACCCTAGTGGAGGGAAGAAGACACTGATGGGATTGGGGCTGGAATGTAGTATACTAAAACCCAACTATAAATAATTGTAAATCATGGTGCTTAAATTAAAAAAGAAAGGAAGGAAGGAAGGAAGGAAGAAAGAAAGAAAGAAAGAAAGAAAGAAAGAAAGAAAGAAAGAAGAAATATACCAGGCAGTGGTGAAATAAGGTGGGGTGGGGAGGCTTACACCTTGGGAGTGGTGGGGGGGGGACAGGTTACACCTGGTGATGCTTGGGATCTAGTGCGGGCTGGGGGTGAGGGTGGCACCCTACCATGCCATCCGCCATGAAAGCTGGGGCTCTTGCAGGCACCACTCAAGCCCTTTGAATCCTCTTCCCTGCCTCCTCCCGATTCTTGAAGTTCTGGGGCAATGCGGGTAAGTAGGCTGCCCTGATTCTAAATCCGGCCAAGCAGAGGTCAGGAGCGCCCTGAACTCTCGCAGACTGCGGCGCCCAAAGCCCAAACCCGTTGAGCGGCGATACTAGCTGCCTGCAGTCCCGAAACCCCACCCAGGCCGAATCCCGGCTTTCGGGGCGTTGGGCAGAGCCAGACCCTTTTCCCCGCCTCCCGGTCCCTTTCCTTAAGCCCCATCCCCAAGTATCCAGCCCCGAGCCTCCGTATAGGAGGAGGACGGTGAGTTCAGGATCGTAGGAGGGGGTTGTGCTCTCCGGAGGGGGGGGCCCGAGCAGCAGCAGAAACGGAGGGAGGCCCCAGGGAGACGGAAGAGGGAACACCCCGTCGGTGAACCCGCACAACCTCACGTCAGGAAGAGGGGCCGAGGCAGCGCTCGGCTCGCCGGGCAGCGCCTCCGAGAGCGGGTGCGGGGCCGGGGGGCGGCAAGACCGGCAGCCGAGCCTCTACCTCGCTGGACCACGCAACCTGGGCTCCAAAAGAAACTTTCTGCTGACGCCCGCGCCTTCCCGCACCCGGCAGGGCCTGGGGCGCAGGCCCCGCGGCCCCCCGGTGCCCACTCACCAGCGCACCAGCTGCCAGCGCTTCTCCCCCGGCGCCCGGCGGCCCGCCATGCCTCTCCCTGCCGGCCGCGAGCTGCACGCGGGACGCGGCCAGGCTGCGGCAGGGCAGGGCCGAGGGCGCGCTCGCAGTGGCGGGGTGCGGCGGCGCGCGGGCGCCCCGGCGGTGCGGACCGTGCGGCGCTCTCGTCCCCGCGCCCGCCGCCGCCGGCCCGCCCCGGAGCGGCCGCAGCTGGGGCCCCCACGCGCCGCCGCCGCAGCAGGCAAGCCCCAAGCCCCGCGCGTAGGAGCACTGCTCGAAGAGTGAGATTCTCCAAAACCCCAAGCCTAGCTGCAGGCTTCCGCTATCCGTGCCTCTCTCCCTTTCATACCTGTCCTATCTATCTAGAAAGTGATGCATCTTTTAAAAGCAGGCTGGGGGGTGGGCAGAGAGCTAGTACAGGGGGTAACGCGCTTGCCTTGCACACGGTCGACCCGGGTTTCATCCTCAGACCCAGAGACAGGAGTAAGTCATGCCAGTTACGTGCGGCCCAAACGCCCCCAAGCCCCCCAAAAAAGGTAGACTAGGGACCCAAGTTGTGGTTCGGTGTTCCTGAGGTCCTAGGTTTGATTCCAGGCACAGTAAAAAAGGAAGAAAGGAAGTAGTCTAAAATAAAGAGTGATACGCAGTGAGGTCTTGGGTTCCATCCTCAGTACCACAATAAATAAATAAAAGAAAATTACAGTATGAGACTAAAAGAGACAGTGATGTACCAGACTATTAAAATATTAAAAGAGAGGCTGAAAAAAAGTGAGGCTGGAGAGATATAACAATAGGTTGGGCACTTGCCTTACACACAGCCAACCCAAGTTTCATCGCTGTCACTCTATATGGTCTCTCACAGCCAGTTGAGAAACCTGAACACAGAATTTGGAGTCGGGCCTGAGACTCCTAGGTGTGCCCCCACCAAAATAAAACAAAATAAAAAATATTTAAAGTGACAGTAATTGAAACAGCATGTCACTGGCACATCTCATAACCCTATTTCTAGAACCAGTTCCACCTGGGCCCTCAAACTACTGCCAGCCTAAGATCTGTCCATTCGCTTATGGGATGCAGGGGAAGGAGCTTCACTACACCCTTAGGTGCTCATGAGTTATTCCTGGCTCTGTGCTCAAGGATCACTCCTGGCGGGCTTGGGGGACCACATGGGATGCCAGAGATCGAACCCTGGTTGGCCGCGTACAAGGCAAGCACCCTACCCACTGTACTAGGCCCAGATATGTGTTCATTCTGTGGGTTGAGCAGAGACCTTCTTGGCTTACATTATGACGGGGGTATGAATCTGCCTAGTTTGAAGGAGCTTTACAATGCTTCTAAAATAGAACTTACCCGCACATTGCAGTCTCTAACCTTTGCACAGGGAAGAGAGTATGGGACCACAGCGAGAAGATCCTGGATGTTATCTGTACAGGTCCATGCTCAGCAGTGCTAGAAATGTTTCCAGGGAATCCAAGTGCTACTGACACTTGCCATTACAGCTGTAGGTGCCTCCCCATTGTGCAACAAAATCAAGATTACATAAATCCCCAAAGTCCTCACCTGAATTTTCTACTATGTCTCTAGTGCAAAAGTGATAGGAAGATAAGGAGAAAGAAGATAACCCAGATGTACAGAACAGAAAATGGGAAGGAAAAACAAGATGGGTTGGTAGCTCAACTTTGGCCTTTAAGTGCAATATTCACATAAGGAGGGCAATTGCCTTGGCATCAATCTTTGGGACTCCCTATCACAATCAACACAAAGACCAAGGAAACAGAATAGAAGGCCTAGAAACATCTCCAGAATGTGTGTGCACTCACACATATGTGTGAAATATGTGGTTGTGTTTCTTTTCTTGTTTTGTGTGGTTGGTTTTGGTTTGATTTGGGTTTGGGGCCATACTCTGCCGTTTTCAGGGCTTATCCTGGCTCTGTGATCACTCCTGGTGGGGCTCAGGGACCCATATGCAATGGTAGCAACCAAACCAGGGCCAACCACATGCAAGGCAAACACCTTCACCCTTGTTGTATTTCTCCAGCCCTGAAATATCTGTATTTTAAATTAGTGGGGGGGGGGATAGTGATAAAACTACTGACAAAGGGTGATGGGAGAAGCAAGACCTTGGGACCAGAGTAATAGTACAGCAGGTAAGGTGTTTGCCTTGCATGTGGCTGAACCAATGGAATACTATCCAGCCATAAGCAAAGTCATGCAATTTGCTGATACATAGATGGATCTGGAGAGTATCATGCGGAGTGAAAATGGAGGGAGAAGGACAGACACAGAATGGTCTTTCTCATATGCGAGATACACAGAAACATAGTTGGGAAATAACAAATTCCAGAGGCAACCAGAAACAAAGAACAGGAGAACTGATCTTCAGTAGGAATCTTGCCACTGGGGTGATTGAGGGGTTGAGGGGGACATTACGATTGTGATTCAGGAATGTGGTCACTTTGAAGAAGGTGGGATGCTGAAAGGAGGTAAAGTGATATAAATGATACCCTTCTCAGCAACAATTTTGTAAACCAAAGTGCTTAAAAGGAAAGAGAAAAATAAAGGAGAATGCCTGCCATCAAGGAAGGATAGGTGGGGTAGGGTGGGAAATTGGAGATATTGATGGAGGAAAGTAGACATTAGTGAAGGGATTGGTGTTGAAACATTAGATGGCTGGAACTCAAATTATTTAATCATGAATCACCATGAACTTTGTAATTCATGGTGATTCAACTTTAAAAAAAAAAACAGGACCAGCAAGATAACTCAAAAAAGTAGATGTAAAAGGCCTGACTTGATCACTGAGCACAGCTGGGTGTGACTCCCTACTTACCTTCCACCCCCAGATAACAAACAAAAAAAAATCTAGTACAGCGGGTAAGACTTTTGCCTCACATGCAAGCAACCGGGTTTCTTTCCCCAGCACCCTGGTCCCCTGAGCACAGCCAGGAGTGATTCCTTAGCTCAAAGTCAGGAGTAAGCCCTGAGCATGGCTGGGTGTGGCTCAAATATAAAAAAAAATCCAAATACATATTATTTATTGTGGAAAAAATGGAACTTCTAGATAAGCAAAGATTTTAAAAAAACAATTTTTTAATTTATACTTTCTAGTCATGACAAATTCTAGCAAATGGCATTACATTTATTTATTTATTTATTTATTGGTCTTTGTACCATGCCCATGGTGCCCAGGGCTTACTCCTATTTCTGTGCTCAGGGATCACTCCTGATGGGGCTCAGGGCATCATATGGGGTGGAAGTACCATAGTTTCTTTATCCAGTCATCTATCTTTGGACGTTTGGGTTGTTTCCAGATTTGGGCTATTGTGAATAATGCTGCAATGAACATAGGAGTGCAAATGTCTTTTCTGCATATGTTTTGGAGGCCTTGGGATATATTCCAAGTATTGGAATTGCTGGGTCTTATAGACCACTGGTCCTGTTTTCTTTTTTCTTATGACAGAAAGATTGACTATCAAATGGAAACATTTTAAGACCTTCAGGAAAGAACAAAGATAATCCCCCAAAAAAGCACAATGCAGGGACTGGAGCAATAACACAGCGGGTAGGGCATTTGCCTTGCACACAGCCGACCCAGGTTCAATTCCCAGCATTCCATACGGTTCTCTGAGCACTGCCAGGATTAATGGAGTGATAGCACAGCGAACAGGGCATTTGCCTTGCATGCAGCCAACCTGGCCGACCCAGGTTCGATTCTTCTGCCCCTCTCAGAGAGCCCTGCAAGCTACCGAGAGTATCTCGCCCGCATGGCAAAGCCTGGCAAGCTACCCATGACTTATTCGATATGTCAAACACAGCAACAAGTGTCACAATGGAGACATTACTGGACCCACTCGAGCAAATCGATGCACAACGGGAGTAACCCCTGTGCATCACCGGGAAAACAAAAAGCACAATGCATAACAGAATGTAGTGCTATATGACACTGTGTCTCAAAAATAAACCTTTGTTGAATATTTTTTCTCCATATCCCCCCATTCACAAGACAGACCAGGCTAAGGGCCTGTACTGAGGTGTATATAGGGTATATTTACTCTGCTTCCTCTTTCTGTACAGTCAGTATAAAGAACACAGTCTCAGTGAGCACCAGGAGGCCTAAATTTGTTAATAGCAGAAAATTTTGGGCAAAGAAGTGAATTATGAAAGGTGAGGAGACTTTTATTTTATTAATCATCAGCATGCCCTATTGTTTCAAATATTTTTAAGAATAATCTTGAGAGCCAGAACAATAGTACAGTGGGTAGGACATTTGCCTAGGATGTGGCCAATCCAGCTTTGACCCCCTGAGCACCACCAGGAGTAATTTCCGAGTGCAGAGCCAAGAGTAACCCCTGAGCATTACTGGGTGTGACCCAACAAGCCAAAAAAAAAATAGAGGAATCATAGTGACCCCTGAGTACTGCCACTGTGATACAAACCTCTTCGCCCTACCCCACAAAAAAGAAGAGTCAGGAAACTATGTAAATAAATCTGTTATCTGTATAGTGACTATTTTTTATTATTTATTAGTCACTGTGAGTGTGACCCCTGCCTACTGGAATATGGAGGATCTGGGTGGAGGATGCTCAGCCTCGATCCGAGCAGGCTTGGAGATCTCAGCCCCGGGAACCGCATGCCTTTGTTCCTCTGCTGGTAGCTTCATGTGTGTGGAGAGTGGTCTCAGCATGGTGGTGGCTGGTTGTGGAGGTCTTTGGTTGGGGTGGGGAGGGAAACTCAGCCCGCTCTCCTCCAAGGGGCCCTGGTGAGGACAGCCTGGTACCATGTAATCCCATCAATGGCCAAGACTCAGAGACTATAAAACCCAGCTCCCGGAAGAGAACAGCGCAGAGTCTCCTGCCCCCACACCTGGCTGTCCAGCTGCCACCATGCTGAGACCACTCTCCTCACGCATGAAGGTACCGGCAGAGGAACAAAGGCATGCGGGTCCCGGGGCTGAGATCTCCAAGCCTGCTCGAATCGGAGCTGAGCATCCTCCACCCAGATCCTCCATATTCCAGTAGGCAGGGGTCACACCCACCAACTGGCCCACTGGCGCCGTGTAATCCCATCAATGGCCAAGACCCAGAGACTATAAAACCCAGCTCCCGGAAGCGCGCAGCTGCGAATGT